TGATAGACCATGGGCCAAGGGCCCAGTGACCAGAGCTATGGCTAGGAGGATACAGGAAGAGCTGGATATTGAGGAGACTAATGGGCTTATCAGGCCCAAGGTAATCTTCACTTGGAATGCTCTATCATGAAGAGAAGGCCTTAGTTCTATTTGTTTATATTGTACAGTTTATGCATAGTATTTTGTATAGGTTATTTTGCCTTTGTATTTGTGAGGCACTTTACTTGCTTTTTCCTAGTGATTGTATATTGTTTTTAAGGTAGGCTACTTGGAGAGTTTAGCTCCATTTAACCTCCCTAGTTGATACTTTCATTTTGTATTTTTTCAGTAGGGAAAAGGGGGTGATATTTAGCAATGCTTGAGGGTGTGCTTGGAAATTGGGCCTGATTTGGGCCTAGGCAAAATTTTACATATTGGACTCATTTTGCTCCTAATTTTTCATAGATTTGATTTAGCTAGGTTTCATCATCAAATGATGAACCTAACTAAACCAAATCAAAGATTTTCAAATCAATTCAAGGAGCATTTTGAACCATGGGCCGCCTAGCTTGTTCCTTCTCCTTGGCCGAATTTCTCAAGCATTCCTTCTTGAGTTTGAAGCTTGTCTTGCAAGCTTCTAAACTCAAGCAAGGTTAGCTTACCTTACCATGGTTCCTAAGTGAACCATGGTCAAGGTTAGCTTCTCCTAGAAGCTAGCTAAACCGTGGGAGTTTAAGATAACCCTACCATGGTTCCTAGTGAACCATGGTTAAGGTTAGCTTCTCCTACAAGCTACCTTACCCTATATATTTGATTTTCCTACACTTGTACTCACTTTTGACATTTATGAGAAATAAACTTCAGATTTCTCTCTCAAGAGTCTTACCAAAACCGAAGAGAAAACCTTCTCTTTAAGGTTTCACCAAGGTTTTTCAAACCTTAACCTAGGTTCCTCAAGCTTCTACCCTAACTAGAAGTAACCGAACCACTTCTCATGGCTTCTCCTCCATGGAAGCTTCTTTCATGGAGATTCAAGCTTCATCCAAGGAATTAACCTCAAGAATCATTCGGTCCTTGCATGGAATCAAGTGAAGGAAGATCAATCTCCTCACCTAGTTCCATCATTTTTGGTATCTA